TCTCTCTCTCTCTCTCTCTCTCTCTCTCTCTCTCTCTCTCTCTCTCTCTCTTCAATTTACAATTCGGTGGATTTTCACTTCGTTGTACTACCTTTAAAAAAAGAATCCGATAGCCATGATGGTGATAAGAAAATCTGATCACAGAAACTGTGAAGATAACAATGTAGAGAAAAGTACAATTGACCGAGCCTCCAAGAGGAGTTCAAGTAGTAATGGAAATTAATATGAACAGGTTCGCAAGAAGATCAGAAATTTTACCTGCTAGATATACAATGTATTTGACGTTACGTGGGGAATGAAAACAGACAAATCACCTACTAGATATTAATTTAGGCATGGTAGTGTTACATCCCTTTACAATAAGTATCGATGTCGATGTGGATGATGTTATTTGCTGCTGTGAGCCCTCATGACGTCACCCCTGGCTCCGGCGATTTCAGAGAAACATGAAATTCTGCGAAAACGACCGAGGCCGAGGGCCACCACAGCTACGCCCGGCGCCCGCGGGTCAGACAGAGGCGTAGACAAAATGACGCCCGGTAAACAGAGAGGTCGCCATAACAACGTAGTGGAATCCCGTCGCACAGGTCACTCTATGACGTCATGCACATCTCTTAACCCTTTTGATGTTGTCCCACTAACGGCTCTTTGCATGACATATATGTTAGAGGCTACGTGTTTCAGACGCCTGAAATCACGACATCTGATAGGATTACTTTTATCCTTTGGTTGATTTCTATTAAAAGCTTTTATAACATTTATTTATGTCCTGCTCAAAAGGCTAAGGGCTAACAAATCTCAACTTAAATCGTTAAATCGTGCAGAAAATCGAAATAATATGGCAGCTTTTATGAGTTTTGTCTTTGTTTTTATTTTGTTTCGTTTTGCTTGCTACTTCTTCTCTGTTTCGAAGTTGTTTCTAAATGAAAAAGTGTTGTTGTTGTTTTAACATAACCTGGCACTGTTACTTGTCCATCGATGTTGTGAAAGATGTTGTGGTTGTGGTTCTAACTGGTTATTGGCTATAGCAAGTTTACTGAAACGAGAGAGAGAGAGAGAGAGAGAGAGAGAGAGAGAGAGAGAGAGAGAGAGAGCTGATATCAAAGCTTGAACTTCAGAAATGTAGTGGTGGTGATCGATGTTTTGTTTGTGGTTATCATGGCTTCTGTATGGTTTCTTGTTGATTTTATTTAATGAAGATGACAGTGAAGGTGCTGGTGAAATACCCGGGACTGACTCTCCAGTGGGGAAGTTTTTTTGTTTGTTTGTTTGGGAGTGGGTTTTTTTTTTTTTTGGTCGAGTATCTCAGTCTGTCTGTAAGGATGCTGCATCCTATTCGGACCAAACTCACGAGCACGGTTGAAGTAGTCGACCTCTTGAACAGTTCTACACTGCGTCGATAGTGGCATAAAATATTTACCATTTAAAACCGAAAAAGCGCACTTACACC